ACCTCCCTTAAGCAAAGGAAGAACAAAGGCTGTTTTCCAAGTGTCTGGGATGGAGTTTTGTCTTATGGGGAGATTGAAGATATGGGTCACAGGGACTGTGATGATATGAGCAGCCAGCCTTAAGAAATAAGGTGGAAGTTCATCTGGACCTGCAGATTTTTTAGGGTCAAGATCTTTTAACAGTTTATTAACCTCACTGACTGAGAATGGAGAAAAAGAGAAGCTGTGATTAACTGAGGATTGACTTGTAGGAGGGATTTGATTTGTAGAAGTTTGGTTATTAAGTGAAGTGGCTGATTTTCTGTTAGTAACTGTGTCAAATAAAGAACTAGAAGCAACAAAGTGTTTGTTGAAACAGTTCAGGATCTCGTGCTTATTTGACACAGGAACAGAGTTAATGAGAAGTTGTGATGGGAGGTCAGATGATTGGGGGGTGCCTGAGAGAGATTTGATGGTTTTCCAGAATCTGTTAGGGTCATTTAGATTTTTAGAGGTCTGAGATAAGAAATAGTTGCGTTTTGCTGCTTTGACAGCAGTTGTACATTTATTCCTCATCTGTCGAAAACTCAACCAATCAGTGTCTGAGTCAGATTTTCTCGCTGCAGCCCAAAGATGATCTCTCCTGTGCAGGAGGTCAGCTAGCTCTGGAGTAAACCAGGGGCTGTCTCGTCCCTTTATTCTGAACTGACGAAAAGGAGCATGTTTAATCACGAAAAAAATGAAACTATTATGAAAATAGTTCCAAGCAGAGTTCACGTCATCAGTTAACAGAATACGATGCCAGTCAAAGTGAGACAGGTCCCAGAGGAATGACTGTTCACAAAAATGTTTCAAATCCCTTTTTTGAATTAATCTGGGCTTAGAAGGTGGAAGTTTAATATCTCTCAAAGCAGCTGTCACACAATGATCACTCAAAATATCAGCGAATACACCTGTACCAGGGAATTTGTGAGGCATATTAGTTAGAAATAGGTCTAAGATGGAAGATTTTTCAGGACGGTTTTTATTTAATCTAGTGGGAGAGTCAATCAGTTGGGTTAAATTGAGAGACAGGCAGCATTCCTTGAATTTATCACAGAGGGGGGTCGACTTACACCAATCAATGTTGAGGTCTCCAGCCAAAAGGATCTCTTTGAATTTTAAATTACCAAGAAATTCCTTCAGTGCAGACAGAGCCTCAGGTGATGCTGGGGGGGGGGGGGGGGTAGCAGCAGACTACAGTTAAGATCTGACCTCCATTCAAGGTGATGTTTATAGCTAAGGCTTCAAACTGGTTTGGAATTGTTTTAGAAGACACAAGACTAGCAATCAAAAAATCTTTGATGTAAACAACGACTCCCCCCCCCTTTTTTTTGACGATCACAGCGGTAGATGTTAAATCCATTGATTGCCAGGTCATTATTCATTACAGATTTGTTGATCCAGGTTTCAGAGATAAAGATAACATCTGCCCCAGAAGAACTGACCAGAATTTTCAAAGCATCAAGTTTTTTCAGAAGGCTACGAGCGTTTACATGCAGAAAATGAAGCCCAGACATGTTCTTAAAGTCATTTGGTGTGCTGTAATTAGTGGGGGGTCCAGTCCAGGGTTGGGCTGAATCCCTGAGAGCAGTAACAACATTGTTATCAGACATTTTCTTGAGTTTTTTGTGACTGATGTGTAATTGTAGGAGTTAACAGTGTGACAATTAGCCCCCATAATCGAACCATGAGAAACATTAATGAAGATGTGATCATTCAGAACCCAAAAACAGTGAAAGTTGCAGTGATGGACAGATTTAGGTGTATTAACAAGATTCAGTGACTCCAGATAGTCTGAGAACTGAAAATAGTGACAATAATATGAATGATGCAGAAAAGTTTCAGACCATAAAATGTCACAGTTCAAATGGGCAAACAAACCCCACGAGGTGGCCCAACTGCAGTTTGAGTTGGGCTGAGGGGGGCTCCGGCCCCCCAGTGAAGATGGATGGATGCTCCCATGGGAAACAGAAGCTGGGTCCAGAATCAACAGGCCGGAACAGAAACAGATAATTCGCAGCAAATAGCAGAGCGAGCTGCCAGAAAATCCTCCTGAAGTGAAAGGCATGATCCAAGCTCGTTTCAGGTCAACAGGGGCCAACAGCGTGATCCGGAATAAAA